GGCCTGCTTATTCGTGTAAATTAGCATCCATAGGTTTATTAATGCTACCTCCAAAGTATGCAACATAGTTATTATGCACGGTGAACGTTTTATGGGCACAGAAACGCCCTTTCACGGAGACGGAAACAGATGGGTGAATTCTCTTTGGAGATAGCACACAACATGTAGGTTAGGAGCGTTAATAACAAAATAATGCATGGATAGGGAGGGGGGAGGAGGAGCGAGGAAGGAAAATAGTAACATAAGTATCTCATGTGTTTACTGCTTCGTTTTAAATGCTATTACGCCGTCAGCTATTTTTAGTAAATTCCGCATAGATGATAGAGTTGTCTCATTTCAAACTACTTCTTGTAGTCTGTGCTATTTTAGTGAAACCTGTCTTGTGATTTTACAGTTAACAAATGGAGGTTTGAGCTTTTTATTATAAACTAACCACTGGCGACTTTATATATGTAAATATCCGAAAACAAGAGAACCTTACTTACCACAGAATTAACATCATTTTACCTTTTCTATATCATTATTATCTTGCATATGCACACCCTAGCCTCAAATTAGGCACAGGGTTTATAAGTTTCCTCCTAGCATTGTCGGAAGGATAAGAGAAACTGGAATGGCCATTTCTGGCTCATTAGCCGTTTTCAGCCAGTTATATCCAGCCCAAAGTGCTGCACCACTCAAGACCCGAACCCGCGACATTTTGATCTAAGTCTAACCATTGATCCACGAGCTCGTTTAGATTGGGAGATGTTGACCCTCGTTGATGAACGTTAACCGATCGCTAACGGCACTCGCTCGTCTCGCCCTGCCTTGGGACTCATTCGGAAGCCCCGCACAGCGGCTAGCAGTCTATGCAGATAAAATTGCCGGCTAATGAGCTAGAAATGGCCATTCCAGTCTGCCTTTTCGTTGCCGGCAATGCTATGTGGCTGCTGGCGTGGCTTTAGAATGAGTCCCAAGGCAGAACGGGACGAGTGAGTGCCGTTAGCGGTCCGTTCAATTTCATCAACGAGTGTCAAACTTCGTCCCACGTATGTTTAGGCGTTTCTTTGAACCCATTACCTCCCATAATTTTAACCACTTTGATTTTCGTTATGAAACTTGGATACCTATGGTTTTTCAAACTTGTATATAAATTAATTT